CTTAACATGTATTATACTATAAACATCTACCAGTAAGACCAATACATTCTTAACATGTATTATACTATAAACATCTACCAGTAAGACCAATACATTCTTAACATGTATTATACTATTAGTGTTTTGTTTGATTTATTATTGCAGGGTGAGGTTGATATCGCTCTCTAATACTATATTAGCGTGTAATTATCCCAACGTACAAGGAAACAGCGTATTGTTGATATGATGGTGTAGTGTAAGTATGTGCAGAGAAATACATGAAGTTATATGGCAAAAAAAAAAAATTACAAATCGCTATTAGTGCCTTTTAAACTAATATCCGCCTTTACTTTGGAGATATTGTTTGTTTGGAATAAAACACAAAGCTACACAATGGGTTATCTGTGCTCTGCCCACCACGGGCAGGTTTCTAGCGTTGTAAGTCCCCAGACATAGCGCTGATATAAAAACACTTTTCACGCCTGCTGGTCAATAAAATCAATACAAAACCCAATATCAGCTTTCTTCGATAGAGAGAGAGAATTGCTAAGTTTTAAGTAACAATTTTTAATTTTCGATGTATTGTGAATATTTAAATCAATGTTTAATGAAAAAAACTACAAATTCACTATTTTACGTTTGAAACTTTGTACTTTCAGTTGATGATCACTAAAACCAATCATCTTCAGTTCTTCTATACTTGGCTTGACATTACCCGGTGGTTAGGCACTCGACTCGCAATCTGCGGGTCGCGGGATCGAAACCCGTCGACGAATATGCTCGCCCTTTCTGCCACGGGAGCGTTATAATATAATGGTCAATACCACTAACTGTTAGTAGCCCGAGAGTTGGGGGTGGGTGGTGTCGTCTTGCTGCCTTCCCTCTAGTCTAGTACTGCTAAATTAGGCACGACTAACGCAAACATCCCTCGTGTATCTTTGCGCGAAAAACCCAACAGACAAAAGAAACATACGGTCAGAAACATTAGTGTCTAGTTGGAATTACAATGGTGTATCTTCATTTCGCTACTAATATACTAGGAGCTAAAGTGAATAAGGAACTGATTGCTGTACATTATCATGAATCCTAAACAAGACGAATCAAAAAACAACACAACTGAAAATAAACACAACATGCCATTTACAATAACAGTATATAAAGCGAATGTAAACGTGTTGAAATAAATAATGATGTTACATACAATAACTCAAAAACTAATAAAAACGTGACGATTAAGTCGGTATTCGTTGGTTTAAAAGGAAACGTAACTCAATCACAACAGTCTGGGTTATACAATTAATTTTAGTTAGGAAATTACGAGCTACAGAACTAAAGCCTATAAGAAATATATTAATACTTTATTAGCTTACTTTCTCATATTCAATAAAGTAATTATAAGTTAAGCAATGTAAGCAAAACTTGGATGCTGAAAACAACAAACATAATTATACTAACCACGTAAGCTGAAGATCCTTATATGTCAATAATTCGCTTTGAATTTATTTAGTAATGCTACATCTGTGCATGAAACTAACAGAAAACTGTTGGAAGTTGTACCACTGAAATTTAACAGATTCATTGTCATAACAACTAATTTCAAAATACTTTTCCTTTGTACTCCTGAATATACTATGCCTAATAGTATTAGTAACAACTTTGTTTTTTTTTTTAGGGACGGCAAATTATGTAATTTTAGGGGTGGTCATTTGCAGTTGTCGATTTGAAATGTTTGGTAATTGGAACTGTGAATCTGGCTATAAATCAAGTAGTCGTTTCTTTTTTTATTTAATAAGAGTGGCTGTGGTAAGAAAGGAAGACTTATTAAGTATGAAGGGAAACGTTACCATTCTGAAGATGCTAAGACTATCTAGAGTTCACGCAAACAAGTATTTCACATAACGATGGTGACTGGCTATTTTGTGTTTTCCTATTTATCTTATCTATATATTTATCTATCTACTGTTTAAGTGGTCGTTTAAACGTGACATTATTTCGTATTACTACTAACCTTTCTCCCAGCCTTGTTGTTGTGAAGATTCATCAGCGATCGCGCGTCCCCTTCGAATTCACGAGCGTCTAGAAATTTGCGGGAGAGCTTCATCCCATAGCGTACGTCGGCGCTGCAGCCTCCCCACTTCCAGTTTCCTCGCAGGTTCACCCCATTCTTCGTCCGGTCACAGCCACACCGGCTGATGTTTCCTCGGCTACATGCCTGCGTAACAGAGTACGTTACGCCTGCTGAACTGATGGCGTAAATGTACGCTGCTTCTCGGCTACCTACAGAAACATTAGCGTGTTAATTAAAGAACAATTCATTTACATCAATCGTAATTACTTGGTTGACTTATTTCGTCATAATGACTCTATTGTGGTAACACTAGACACACTTAAACCAAGGTCTTACACACAGAGCTAAGTTTAAAACATTATCTAACAATATATTTGTTTGTTTTGAATTTCGCGCAAAGCTACACGAGGGCCATCTGCGCTAGCCATCCCTAATTTTAGCAG